CTACCTGTATATAAACATGCTTCATAGCGAGTGGGAATCAAGTTGAGAAGGAGAATCCTTTCATGTGTTGGTCACTAGCCGGCCTTTCCAATGGATTGAAAGCAGAAAAAGAATGGTCACAAAAATACTAAATAGACTGAAGTTTTGTACATGCTTTGTCAAACCTGAAGTGAATAATATTGCATTTAGTAGAACTGAAATATCTTTTTTAGCTGTAGTACAGCTGAATATCTATGGTGATAGGAGTGCGTCGTTGATGATCCCTGTAGTATACTATACTCCTTTATGTCGCACTCGCACATACTGTGTAGCACAGCATCGCCGGGGCAGCTGCGAGGGACCGGCCGTACTTGCCCTCACACAAGGTGAGGCATGGCCTAGAGGACTCCTCCGGACGGGTTGGCTTGATCTCAACGCTTAGCTCCATTTTTTGGCTTTGCCGGTGCGACTCCATCTTCTCCTGCAACCTCCGAGAGAGGAACACGCCATGACTAGACAAGGACACGTCGAGATCCCTGGCCGACCACCTCTCCACGCAGAAGGCGGGCAGCTTGCCCCATCCGATGCTTGTGTTGTTAGCGTCTCCGCTCGATTCATCGTAGTACACGACCAGGTAGCTCTCCTCCTGGCAGACTCGCCGCATGTGCTGCTTGTTGTTGACGTGGACGGTGAGGTTGAAGGCCGGCGAGACGGCAGGGTTCTGCGAGGGGTCAAGCCCTTGGACTCCTGTCAACTGGACCGAGTACCCGGGCTCCAGACCTCGGATGAAGAAGGAGAAGCCTGCACAGATCACGAGCAAAAGGCACAGCCCCAGCATGCCAAGCAGAAGGATCGTCGGGTCGTCGTCGTTGCTGCTCTCGGCGTCGTCGACGGCAGGCTGATCTGGTTCAGGTTCAATGGTGAGGACGTAGTAGTCGCCGTAGTTGCCCGGTTCTTCTGCCATGGGTACTGTCATGGTAAACAAACGCTCGCAGATCTAAAGGCCACGCTTAGGGTCTGCGGCGCTGCGTATATATGGGAGGGAGGACTTTGAGGATTAAACAAACTCGAGTCTGAACCGGTGACATCTCCCTGCCTGCCGTGATGCGACCGGACTGCAGATTGAGATTTGAATTGGAGTCTGAAATCTGAACCGACGTCGATTCCGCATCTGCTTGATCAACTCGTCTCTCTCCTCTCCTCTCCTCTGTGTATATATATATAGAAGATTGCTATAACAGAAAAACTCGTCTCGCCTGTCCGCCGACAAACTTGGGCACCCCTGGGTATTATATACATACACAAAACATGGAGTTTCCGTCGGCGATCGCTTGGTTTTTCAAGAAAGCCAAATACCCGCTGATCTGGCTTGCCATCTTGTTCTCTGCCGGCCTGTTCCTCTTGCTTATGTCCGAGGTTGTAATTCCTCTCGTCACACCAAACTATCCGGAGAAAAGTTACCACCAAGTAGAAATCACCGGCATCGAGGCATCCAGCTTCCAGACTCCGCGCTTCAACCTCACCGCGCGCGTCACCAGCCGCCACGAGCGGCGCGAGATGTGCGTGACCATCTGGGAGGCTGATGTGTGGTACGGCGGGGCACCCCTGGGTAAGGCGTACTTCCCCAAGACATGCCTGAAGAACATGACAGAAGCGGTGGTGACGGCGACGACGTCGACCGACTTGCTCGGGCTAAGCATGGCCAACGGGACATCGGGGTTGCTTCAGGTCGAGATGACACAGTGCACCGATTTGCTGTTTGATGATGGCACCTCAACCGGTGAAAAAAGATGCCACTGGCTATGGTGCAAGGCCACGTTGGGCGGGCAGTCTCACCAGCCCCCCTCCCCCTGCCGCATCTACCCCATGACTCGGGCAGAGACTAGTGATACAAGGTTCTTTCTTGTTCCAAGAATGTGATCGATCGGTATAGGGTCAGGTTGATATATATGGGAAGCGCTCTTGCAGACTGATTTCTTTCTTTGTTGGTTAATCATGGCCTTCTTTTTCATTTTGTGTGACTGTTTTCTCTGGTGTTCTCTATTTAATCATGGAAATGTGACTGTTCTCTTGTGTCATATACTTGTGTTGATTATGTATTTTTGCGGGTGCATATACTTGTGTTGATGTATGTACATGCATTTGGTTGTTATAAATATGTTGTTTAGATTTGTGCACACATATATATTTGAGCTCTTTTGCTATTATTCGGTCGTATCACCAACGGCGGAGGGAATGTGATGGAGGGAATGCATCACCATAGGGATCACCAACGGCGCACTCCCTTTGACAAAAGATATCCCCCACTCCTTGTCTATTTGCCCCACTCCTTGTCTATTTCGTACGTCGGGCCCCATCGTTCTTATATACACTATCATCATCGAACCCTTAACAAGCTTTGGTGCTATGGGCCAGGTGGGAGTATTTCTTCTCCCCCCACCTTCATTAATTAGTACTTCATCCATTTTTATTTAATCCGCGTATTAGCTTTGGTCAAAGTCAAGCTTTGCAAACTTTGACAAAGTTCATAAACAAAAATACTAATAAGTCAATAGCATTAAATTCATTGTTGAATGTACTATCACATCATATACATCTGTTATGGTAAATGTTTATATTTGTTTCTATAAACTTGATCAAACTTTATTAAGTTTTACTTCAGCCAAATCTAATATGCAGAGTAGATAAAAACATAGGGGGTATATATACCAGAGATTTCCTCAGTTACTAAAATAGAGCCTATTTTTAGCACTGATAAGAGAGTTGATATATCCTTCTAAGTATCTAATATCTATAGGCTTGTACACTTTGGAAAGGAGGGGTTTATTTAGAGAAAAGACAAATATATTTCAGCCGGTATGCCCTTAGGGCATCCAGTCAGTTATAATTTATAGGAGTATACAGCCTCTTATCCTTTGGAGGAATATATTTGCTCCTATAAAAAAATGTGGTTTCTAATCAAACCCCTAAACTTGACTCCGTAAAATTTGCATTTGGCTCATACATTTCGTCAAACACTTGCTATGCGCCTCCGCAGCAAGCGACAATGGTGACCACGTACGCTGCCGCATCCCGAGCAGCGCGGGTGGCCGTAAACAAGCCAAGCCGGATTAAATGACTAGCCACATCCCGCACTTCAGCATCTGCAGCTTCTCCCCCATCATCGTCCAACAGACCATCTTCAATGCTACCTTGCAATGCCCACCATTTGCCTCCCTCGATCCTCTCCACAAGAAGTTTCTGCTAATTTTTTCCAGTGTCTGCAGTACCCATGGAGGGAGATCCATTGATAGCATGTGATAGATCGCGGTCGCTGTCAATACTCAGTTTATAAGGACAATTCTCCCTGCCTCCGTGAGCAAACCACACTGCCATAGCTGAAGTTGACTCACAATCAGGTCAATCAACTAGTGTAACTCCTCTTTCTTAAGATTACATGGCGCCAGAGGCAACACTAAATATTTGCACGGAAAGGCTGCTACCGTGCAAGGAAGATTGGGGAGCACGACATAGACCACCAGTTGCGAACATCTGATCGGAATAATGGAGCTTTTCTGCATGTTGACATGTAAGCCCGAGGCCTTGCCAAAGACCTGTAACACCTCCTTGATCACCACTAGCTCCCTCACAGTTGACAAGGCAAATTCAGATGATCAAATTATCTGCATAAAGAGACAACATGTGCTTGATACCAATGCCGGCCTTAGGGTTCATCGCACTTAGCACATCCGTAGCAAGGATGAAAAGCATCGGGAATATTGGGTCTCCCTGTCTGAGACCATGAGCATGCCATGTTCCAGCACCTCCAACAGAACCTTTTCTTAAAAAAAATAAGTACCTCCAACAGAAATGACCTGAGGGGGGCGATCAAGATACATGGCGGTGGTGCCAGCCTGATGCTGCGTGCATGCTCGGTGTGTTGCTCGACCTGTGCAAGGCTGCA